ACTGTTATGGACAAAAACGCCCAGAAATCCTAAATAAGAGTGTTGACGAGTCCTTCCTTCCTTCCTTTCTCTTTTCCTTTCTTCCTCCCTCTCTTCCTTCTCCTCTTCCTCCCTTCTTTCCTTCCTTCCTTCCTCCCTTCCTTCCATTCTCTCTTTCTTCTTTCCTTCCTCCCTCCCTGCCTTTCTCTTTTCCTTCCTTCCTTCTTTCCTTTCCTCCTTCCTTCATCCCTCTCTCCCTTCCTCCCTCCCTTCCTTTCTCTTTCTTCCATCCTCGCTCCCTCCTTCCCTTCCCTTCGTCCTTTCTCTTTTCCTTCCTTTCCTTCCTTCCTTCCTCCCTCCCTCCCTCACTTCCCCCCTTCCCTCCTTCCTTTCTTCCTCCTTCCTTCCCTTCCTTCTTCTCATCCTCCCTTCCTTCCTCCTCCTTCCTTCCTTCCTTCCTCCTCCACTGTCACAGCGTCTGATTGGTTCATCCTGATGCTCATCTTGTTCCTGGTGCATATGACTCCAGATACCATCATATTGTGGCAGCATCACATCCAGACAAGAGACTAAAACACATAAACAGCTGTCTGTTCTCGTTAATCCTCTATATGAAGGAAACCGTGTAGAGAGTTGAGTTCAGGTAAATCTGAGCCGCTGAGCTTCGGTTTCGTGTCGCTGCAGCAGCACCTAGTGTGTCAGAGCAGGAAGTTTCAGAACCCACGGACGCCTTTCTCAGCTGATTCCAAACAAACCTTAAGTTTTATCATCGAGGCGAACATTAACCTCCAGAAATAGAACCGACAGCAGCGGCGGTCGGGTTTTGTTGATTTTCTGCAGCCAAGCGTTGCGGCAGCGTCTGAATAACGAAGCCGCGGTTTAACAGGTGCGCCGATAACGAGCAGGTGAGCCGAGGATCCTGACAAGCCGCTGATTTACCTCGGAGCTCTCCAGGAACTGCAGGACGTCGGGATCCTTCAGCAGGATGGGGTGCTTCACCGTCCTCATCAGATACCTGGAAAAAACAAGGTGTGCTCATTAGAAGGTGCAGCTCCGGCCCATTGACATGCAGCTGGAGGAGAGCAGCTGCTGCTTCACATCACAGGAAGTCTGACCTCAACATCTGGATGGAACGCTTTCTGCAGCATCGTGCATTTCTTTGGATTATTAGCAACCTACAAGCTGCAAATGTGTGAAATTTGGCACACTGGTTGGTTAAAGTCTCCTGATTCTTCTCACCAAGTTTCATGTCTGTACATAAAACCCTGCAGCGCCACCAATGGGTCGAAGTTGGTGGTGAATTTTTAAGAATGAGGCACAGTTGGTTCAAAGCGCACCATAAGGTAGATGCTGGATTTTATTTAAAAGCTTTTCACACATTTTTCCTCAAAAAGTGGTTCATAATGATCTTCAGACAGAGTTGTCACATTTATTTTTGGTTCTCTGGAGCAGACGTTCAGCAGAGAAGCTGCCAAACATCAACAGTTTGGATCACGATTTAGGACAGACATGGTTATTATTTTAATTCTGCTTTTCTGTTTATATATTCTGTTCTGCTGGTTTAACTTTTAAGTAGAGAAAATGTGAATATTTGCATTTTCCAGTCCCTCATCCTGTTTTAACTTCGTCCAGATGGTTATTAGGATTCATTTTAGTCTTTCTGTGCGACTTTGACACGATGAAAAACAACAAAATCAATTTTAACTGTCATAATTACAATGAATTTAAGTTTGTGTCCTCTTAAACCTGCTAATTAACATATGTGTGTGTGTGTGTGTGTGTGTGTGTGTCCATCAGCTGGAGTTCTGCAGCTCTGAGCTCCACCAGCTGTCATTGGCCGACCTTCCTGTCAATCAAACAGGGCAGCAGAATGTCAGCCCCGCCCCCTTCCTCCCCCCTCCCCTCCCTGCTGCTCAGCATTTAACACACACACACACTAAGAACACACACACACACACACTTGTCAGCCTGTTATTTTTAATTTCTTGTCTCTTGATGTAAATCGATTGAATCAAACTGAGTCGTCATGGAAACGTGACCGCGTAGCGTGTTGTGACAAACATGTAAAGAAAAGTCAGAACAGTTTGTTATTAAAATGGTCAGAATATAGTACAAGTTAAAAAGATGTTTAAAAACAGTCCTAGTGTGTATTGAAAAAGTCCTAAAAATCTGAGTGTAGTCCGTCATGAGAATCGTAAAAAAGTCGGTCATGGTAAATTAACTTATGATAAAGTCGTTAAAATAATCTTAGCATAGTGTGCCGTGAAAAAGTCATAAAAATGTGACAGTATGATGTCATTAAAAAGTCATAAAACGTGTAGTATGCCGTGAAAAAGTGCTGAAAATCTGAGCGTAGTGTGTCTTTAAAAATCATAAAAAAGCCAGTCATAGTATTAAAAAGTCGTAAAAAGTCAAAGAAAGTCGTTGTGAAAAAGCTGTAAAGTTGTCGTCGTATCGTACGTTGTCTCAAATGTGATCGAGTACTGCAAGGAAAAAGTCGCAACCAATCAGAGCAGAGTATGCCGTGAAAAAGTCCCAAATATCTGAGTGTAGCACGTCTTAAAATCGTAAAAAAGTCGGTCAGTATAGCATATCAGGAAAAAGTCGTAGAAAAGTGTACACATAAAAAGTGTCATAAAAAGTTGTTAAAAAGTCATTGGATAGGATGTCGTGAAAAAGTCCGAGTGTAGCACGTCATGAAAATCGTAAACAAGTCAGTCACGAGTAAATTTTGAAAATGTCTTAAAGACGTCCTCGCTGCTGAGATTTAAAACGTTAACATTTCACGTCTCGGTCCTCCAGAATGAAACGACCTCCGGCTGTACCTCAGCCCACTTCCTGTTTCAGCCCACTTCCTGTTTCAGCCCACTTCCTGTTTCAGCCTACTTCCTGTTTCCTGTCACCGTACCTCTCCAGAGCCGACCTCCTCTTCTCCACGAACTCGTTGGACGACTGGTCCTCCTTCCCGACCTTCACCTTGGTCATCCCTGAAGACGAGGAGACGCTCGTTAACACGACTCATTAACAGGCAGCACGAGGACACTAATTAACACCGAGGTCGATCCGCCAGGAATCAATCAGAGACGCCCACCGACGGAAAACCACTCTGACAGGAGACAGGAGCTGGTTCTGGTAGGTTCTGGAGGTAAGACGGTCCTTCCATAGTCTAGAACTGGTTCTGACCAACCACCATCACACATGCTGACATGAGCCTGGACAGTTTACCCAGAATGCACTTTGTAAAGTTTCCTCTGGTGAACGATCAGAACCAGAACCACATCCAGGAAATGATTGTTTCTCTGACTCCATGTCAAAAACAAACATACATCCCATAATACTGACGCTCAAAGATGATGGACGGTTTTTAAGTCGTTCTGGACACTGGTCTGAATATTTCTGAACATTTTTAGGTCATTTTGCTGAACGTTTAACTCGTTTAACTCGTTTAACTCGTTTACGGCGGTTTTAAATACTTCTGAAGACATTCTGGGTCAGTTTTCTCAAAAGATATGAAACATCCCATAATAATAACGATGCTCAACGTCGGCTATAAAACTGATTGGTAATTTTTTTTTAGATAATTTGGAACAATTGTTAGTAACTGTGGACACTTTAACCTCATTCAGGGTCGGTTTGGATGATTTTAGGACATTTCATTTCATTTCAGTGAATCTTCGAGTCATTTTTGACCCAATTGTGTCGTTTTTAAATTGAATTTCCGGAAGGTTTTAGGCATTTTCAAAAGGTTTTACCTTTTTTTGGACACTTTCAATATCTTTTTTTGGCAGTTTTTGTCATTTTAAGGAAGCTTTTGAGGCTTTCTGGATAAGTTGGAGGTATGTTTGGTCAGATATAAACCACTTTGGACCATTTTTAACTCATTCACTGCCGGTTTGGAATAATTCTCAGCTGGTTGTCGTCATTGTGATGATGTTTGGAGTCATTTGGGAAAACTTTAGAGATATTTTGGACAGTTTCTGAGGAAATATTAACATTATTGCAGGACAATGTCCATGTAATGAGCTGCCAGCACATTTTTATGGATTTATTGCAGTTTTTATGCAAAAAATCCAATAAACTAATTAAATAACAGAAAACGTGACATTTAGCGCCATAAACACGGCATTAAATCATAGTTAACTCCTCATTTCTTTTATAGTTTTACCAACAAATAAGACAGACACAACCAATAAAAAATAGAAACGTATCCATATTTTTTATCAATCAATGTCAATTATTGAAATTACACATTTATTATTAAATAACAGAAATTGTTGTATTCTGTACCATAAATACATCATTTAATATTAGTTAATTCCTCATTTCTTTTATAGTTTTATCAACAAATAACAGGAAAATGTTATATTTTTTAAAGATAAACCAATAAAAAATAGATTTAGCATTAAATGTCATTATTTAAATTACATATTTACTATTCAAGCAAAGAAAACGTCCTGCTCAGAGTTGGTTGTCGATAAACTGCTGCTGAGCAAAAAGCAGATTGTGACGCCTAAATGTAAATTAAATTAATCTTATTAAAATGTAAATAGACCGGTATAAAGCAAAACAGAAGTCATAATTCATAACAAACAAAACAATAAAAGGTGAAGAAATAAACGATCCTGAAATATTTAAATCAGTGAATAATCAGATAAATAATCAATAAAAAGAGTTTTCCGTGTTGTCAGTGGATGTTATGAGCATGAAGGAGGTTTTCTTACCCACGATGCTTTTCTCCGGCGCCGGCGGCACGATGTAGCCGACGTGCAGATACTTGGAGGCCAGTTTACTGTGGAGGCCCAGAAAGTCGCTGAAACGCCGTTTTACCGAGAAGTCGTTGCGCTTGAACAGCGACATGGACGTCTGAGAGAAACGCAAAGAGGGACGATAAAAAGTTCACGTTAGAGGATAAATGTGACGGGAAACGTCCTCACGTCAACACGAGAAACACAAAAATCATTCTGCAGACGTTTAATACACAACATGAGACGATACAAACAACGTTTTTGTCTTTGTCTGGAGGTTTAGTTGAAAAACGGCTGCAAACTTCAAAGTTCCAACATCGGAGCTCCTGATTGGTCGACCGGCATCAATCAACCAGATCAATGGGAATTTTCTAACGATTAAAGTCAGTCTGGAAATACCTTCATGTCTTTAAAATCTCTTTTTAAAACATTCTTTGATAGAAAAAAGCCGCATATAAATATGTATATGTATATATAAATAAAGTTTATTAATATTAGTATTATTAGTATTTTTGCAGTAATGTTGCCCAGAGGCAGCAGATATAATAAAAAACCAAACGGGGCCCAGAATACTTCCTTGAGGAACGCCGTATTCAACAAATCAATTTAACCAACAAAACATTTTCCACTACTTCATCTTTTTATTTTTTTTATATGAATACATGGAGAATATAACTGAACAACCCCCAAAACTTTATTAGTCAACATATTTGCCACCAGATGAGCTTAAAGGGCGTTATGTGACGATTAAAATCAGACTGGAAACATCTTTATGTCATTAAAACCTCTTTTAAAACATTCTTTCATTAAAAAAAAAAATCGTAGTGAATGTTTGATCTGTGGCTGTTTTTGATTCATTTATGTCTCCTTTCTGTATTTATGATCTGAAATGTCATGATTTTTGTTTGTTTTATGAATTTGGCTGCTTTTACAAACTTGTCGTTGCTTTGCTTTTGTTCTTATTTAAATTTTTAGTCTTTTTTTAAGTATTTATTCTTTCTGAGCAACATAAATAAAGTGTATTATTTTTATTAGTAGTAGTATTATTATTGCAATAATGTTGCCCAGAGGCAGCAGATATACTAAAAACCAAACAGGGCCCAGAATACTTCCTTGAGGAACGCCGCATTCAGCAAATCAACTTAACTAACAAAATATTTTCAGGGACTTTTTACAGCATGAACAATGAATCATTCCAATATTGATTTCTGTGTAACAAACAGATGCAAAATTACATTTAATTAGTCTAAATATAGCGATTAAAGTGTTGAAAGCACTGAACCGTGTCTAGCTTTGATGCACGACATGAAAAAAAAGCTAATTTTCTGAGCTTGAAATCCCTCATACAACAGAAATCTGTAAAACAACAAAGTATTGTTGGTAAATGCAAACAACTCAGAAGAAAACTTGACTTGTGGGACATTTTATGGCCTTAAATTAAAACAACAACATTAATTTGTGACCTTTTAAGACTTTTTAAGGGAAAAAAACTAAGTAGAAGAAAACGCCAAAATAAAATAAAATACCTAAAAAGAAAATAAACCTGATAACAAACTGTAATCACTTCATAACAATGTCTTTGTTTAGTTTTTGTCTTCTTCTGGAGGTTTGGTTGTAAAATGTTCTGACTTTGGCTTCAAACTTCTGCAGCAGGTCAAAGTTCCAACATCGGAGCTCCTGATTGGTCGACCGGCACCGGCATGCTAACGTGTTAGCGGTAGCGTAACAACACGGCGCTCCAAAGGTCACCCGGTTCCTCTACGGTTCAGGTGCTCGTCATGTGACTGCACACCTTTGTTGACTCACCCACAATGCTTTGCTCCGTCAATAAACAGAGACGTGAAGCTACAAACTGAGTTTTTAAAGGTTTTTTGTTTTACCGCCGATCTGATCTGAGTTTAATATTTAACCTCTGCAGAGTTCCAGTCTGATAATAAACTATCAGGTACAATAAACGTATTAGAAGCAGTCCAGTGTGTTTGTCTGACAGCCGACGTTCTGCCTCCAGGCTGACACTTCCTGTGTATTTTACTAAATAAGTGAGCAACTAAACAAACTTGTCACGGTTCCACTCACTTCTTCTTTTTTTTTTTTGGACAAACCATACAAACTAAACGATAAACAAACTAAAATATGTCTTCAAAAAAACCTTCTAAGTTTATTTACTGCTGCTTTCCAAACCAGTCTGACATCCATCCAGGTGTCACAATCTGAAGACTCAGTCTGGGTTTTGTTCATTTATGTGTTTATCCACAATGAGTTTTAAAATTTACCAAAATACCTCCAACTTGTCACAGTTTTCTCAAAAGCTTCCCAAAATCACAAAAAAAAGCCCAAAAAAGATGAAAATGTCCAAAATGCCCAAAACCTTTTGAAATGACCTCAAAATCTTCCCAAAGTTCAATTAAAAAAAACACAATTGGGTGAAAAATGGCTCGAAAATTGACTTAAATGCAATTAAACACTCTAAAAGTAAAGAAAACATGTCATGAAGTAAAAAATAAGCAAAACTACCAGAAAAGTTTCCACAATTACTTAAAAAATGTTCAAAATCATCACAACAAATGTCCAGAATGACTCAAAAATTTCCCAATCAGTTTTATAATCAGCTTTGAGCATCAGTATTATGGGATGTCTCATAGTTTTTGACATGGAGCCGTAGATAACTGTCCAAAAGTTAGTCACAAATGGTGCAAAATTACCCATAATGACTTTACAATGTTCAAAAATATTCAAAACAAGGTCCAGAATGACTCAAAAATGTTCCACCCACCATCTCTAAGCACCAATATTATGGGATGTCTCATAGTGTGAACAGTAAAACTGCAGCAGTTTAATGTTTTCGACATGGAGTCGTAGAAAATTGTCCCAAATTTAGTCAAAAATGCGGCAAAATGACCCATAATTTCTCCAAAATTACTCAAAAGCTGCCATAAATGAGTTAAATATGCAGAAATGATGGAAAAAGTCCATTAAAGGGATAAATGTGGACCTTTAAGGGCCTTTAACTGTGAACATAGTCACAGTCTGAAGGCTTCATTAGATAAAGTTAGTGTAGAATCAGATGGTTCTGGTTGATTTGTCATCAAATAATCTTTCATGTTTATTAAAACCGTGTTGAATTCGTCACCAGACACTTTATAGGCGTCTCACCTTGGTGGTCACTTTGTAGGCCATGTAGGCGTTCATCCCGTCACCTGAAACACAGACAGAGTTAACCAACGCTGATCTAGTTCCTCCACAGTTCAGTTTAATCGTGAACAGAAGGAGACATGAACCGGATCAGATATCAGACCGGTTCGACTGGTCTCATGCCTTATTTACTGTCTCATGTTTGTTTCTATTTGCATGCAGAGCAGGTTTGGGAATTCAACCCCTCATTGTTCCAGGATGCTCCAGAACATTCCAGGATCGGCCTGTACTCACCGACTTTCTCTGGGTCGGACACCGATATGTTGATGTCGAAGGAATCGCCACCTTCCTCCTCTTCAATCTGCACAGAACAGAAACCAGACGTCGGGTTTTAAAAGTTCTGTTGGTTTAGAATCACAGCTAAAGAGCAAAGTGAGACATTTAAAAGGCTTCAGCGAACTTTTACTGACTTTATCTTTGTTTTTGTTTTTTTATACCTGAAGATTATAACTGTGAAAAACCCCCAAAACTTTATTAGTCGACACATTTGCTACAGTAAGAGATTAAAGAGAGTTATCTGACTGTTAAAATCAGTCTGTAAACATCTTCATGTCTTTAAAACATTCTTTTATGATTCCTTTATGTCTCCTTTTTGTATTTATGATCTAAAATTATCACGATTTCTGTTTGTTTTATGATTTCTGGATGCTTTTACAAACTTTCCTTCGCTTTTCTTTAATTTTTTATAGATCTTTTCTTTGTCGTTTGACTTTTTTTTCTCTCACTCTGTTATGCACTTTGTAGCTTTGTTAAAAAAGGGTCATATAAATAAAGATTATTATTATTAATATTATTATTATTGCAGTAATGTTGCCCAGAGGCCGCAAATATAATAAAAAGTAAATGGGGCCAAGAATACTTCCTTGAGGAACGCCATATTCAACAAGTCAATTGAACAAACAAAACATTTTCCACTTCAAAGACTTTATACAGTTTTAACAATTAATTATTCCAATATTGATCTCTTCGTAGCAATATCATAATATATTAAGTACATTTAATTCGTCAAAACATAGAAATTAAAACCTTTAAAGCATTGAACTGTGTCAACCTTTGATGCACTACATGAAAAAAAGCTCATTTTGGAAGCTTTGAAGTCAAAGTTGCTTGAAATCCTTCATTAAGACAGAAATCTGCAGAACAATAAAGTATTATTGGTAAATGCACACAATTCTGAAGAAAGCTTAATTTGTGGGACATTTTATCGTGTCAGTGATCGAGTTTAGAAATCTGGTTTCCCGCCAAAAAAAAGTCTCCAAATCCAAATGATGCAAATTAAGCACCTATCTGGAAACACACCATTGATCTGTTCTTTAAAGTGAAGTTGCACAGAGTTAGAATGAAGATGTAAAGTCACCTCGTCGAATGAAGAGTGCGTGAACATGTCGTCGTGGGCGTGGCCGAGGCGTGGCGTGATGACGGAGGTGGGCGGAGTTATGGGGGTGATGGCGGGCGACGGGCCGTCCGACAGCAGGACGTCTCTCTCCGGACTGTCCAACGAAACCTCCTCTGTGGCCTCTGAGGCAACGGAAACGAAAACATCGGAGGTTAGAGCCTAAAACAGCCCATTAGTAGATCCAAAAATAAAAAAAAACAGAGTTTTGAAGATTAAAAGACACCAGACCCAACGACAGAAACACCAACACTTATCAACGTTATCCCAAAACGTGAACAAAAAGAATATCGCACAACTTGAAGACTGAAAACTGCACAGCTCGTGTACGCTAAAGCACAAGTTATGAGTTCTAACAAGTAGGTCAGCGGTGAGTCTTCAAACCCAAAGTGGCCCAAAAGCTGAACAACCCTCCACAGTGAACCAGACTTCATCTCACCAAGACGGCTGACTTGATCCCGGACGAGCCCCCAAACAGACGGTCGTAATAAAGACAGAGCTTTTGAGAAAAATCAACCAAAGTCTAAGCAGAAAATCCCCAAACAGGGAGGAATCCAGAAGACCGAGGAGGACGTTCTGACTCCGTCTTATAGACCAAAGCCTGATCAGGTGACTCCACCCAGTGACAGAACAAACCTGCCCGAAGGTCCACAGTTTATTGGTTTGTTTAGCGTTTTCACCTTCAGGCTTTTTCCCAGAAACGCAGCACAAAACATAAAACATCTTCAGCTAACAAGTTGTCAGATACGCTGCAGGAACATCTGGAGACACCTCCTGATGTGGAAAGCTGTTCAGTTTTCTGTCTGATTTCCCTCCTACCTGCAGCCTGGAGGTGGCTTCAGCTACAACACATTAAATCAGTGATTTCAGTGTTCGTATAGTTGTTGTTGTTGTTTTTTTTTAAGTTCTTACCTGCAAACAGATCTTCTGGATCATCGTCGAATAGCAGGTCCTGTTTGGGTCCGTTGGAGTTGGTGCTGATGTCCTCGGCGTTTAAACTGGCTGGTTGTGACTAAACAAACACAAAAACACACAAAAACAAACAAACATGTGACTTCTTGTGCAGCAAGCAAAAGCGACCAAACGAGTTTTTTGTGAAAAGCTTCTGTCAGATGATATTTACCGACATTAATGATTAGAATATTCAACTGTACGTTTATCGTTAGAGTCTCGAGTCTCCAGTGACTCACAGAACTCTGAAGCTTCTACGATGGAACCATTGAAACATGAATCTCTGTCACTAAAACAATCAATAGATTTATTAAAGGTCTTCTGGTACAAATGACAAAATCTAATGGATCATAAATACACAAACAGCACCTTGAATCATCAGCTGGTGACTAGAAACTTGTGTTGATCTAATGGTCTTAGTTTCGTGGCCTCTTAACTCCTCCTGGCTGGTTCTGATCGACTCCAGCTGCTGACTCCTCTGATCCAGTTCAAACAGAACCA